ATTAAAAATTTTCTTGAAATATATGTTTTTTTGTATTGACAGAGGGATCAGCAGAAAGAGTTGCTTTTTTTTTTTTGAACTAATTAATTTATACAGTATATAGCAAAAAATATAAATAAGACATATAATTTTTATATATTTTATTTTATACAATAATAAATTTGATAATATTATTGAATATAATAAAAAGAGCAAAATAATAAGATATATATCTTGCTATGAAGTATTATAATATTCTTTTTTCTTCTTTTGCATTGGTTTTTTTTTTTTAAGATCAAAAAAAGTTTTATTTTAATTCATTAAAAGTTTTTTGTATTAATAATTATTTTAAGAAAATATTTTATTAGAATATAAAACTTTATTTAAATAATAATTTTTAATAGTATAAGTTTTATTATCAGTAATAAAACAATAAAAATTAAATAATTTGTCTAATTGTAAACAGTGATAAAGAATTTATTTTAATGGATTAAAATTGATTTTAAAGAGTTTTTATTTATCAAAATAAACTTTTCAATTAATCTTTCTTTTATTTTATTTTTTTAAAAAATAATTTTTTTTTTACTTTTTAAAATTATTGAAATAACAGGTTAAATATAAATTGATTTTGATTATTCAAGAATAAAGTTCTAATATTTGACTTTGAAAAAAAGCAACTTTATTATTTTTTATAATTATATCCAAAGAATTAAAATTAAAAATTAAAAAATAAAGAAAAGTAAATAGTTTAAAAATTTCTTAAAAAAATTTTTTTTCACATATTGTTATAAAATAATTAAATTCTATAATATTATTTTAATATTATTTTCTTTTAGTATTTTTTTAATATTATTTTATCTTTATTATTTTATCATATCTTAACATTATTACTAATATTTTTGATAGGAATATACTATAATTCTACTAGGCCATTTTAAAAGTATTTTTCAACACCAATCATCAAATGTTTACAATATAAAATTTTTTTCAAATGTTATATTTTTTTAATAAACAATAGATAAAACTTTTATGTAATTTCAACAAAAAACCACATTGTGCTTGAAAAAAGATATATGTCTAAAACGTTATATAAAAAATCGAGACCCCAAAAATATATTAAGCATATTCTCCGGAAGCATGCTAAAAACATTTTACACCTATAAATTTTATTCAATGCCAAAAAAAAGATAATTGAAAATTATAATTTTTTATAAAAAGTATTTTTTATTTGATTATAATACAAGTCAAACTATTTATTAATCAACTTAAAAAGTACTGAATGTCATACAATGTATTATGCACACAAATTTTCTTTCGGTTAAAATCTTATAATATCTGCGGTTAAAGATTTGAAACTCTAATGTTTACACCCCTTTATGGAAACCGCTGTAGGAAGCTCTAGAAGAAAAGATAGTACACATGTTTGAATTGTGGGCTCTTTTTTATTTACATCATTCATAAACCTGTGGTCTATATATCATTACGTAGGCCAAAAATTATTTTGACAATCGCTTCTAACTTTCCTCCCTAGAACTTTCTAGTATCTTTGCTACTTTGAACAACGTTGTTTCGTCTCCATATTGAGCCATCAGCTGCAATCCAATCGGATAACCATTAGTCAGTGAAATTCCAAATGGTACACTTATCGCAGGTATTCCTATACAAAAAATAATAAATTTATTCAATGAAGACATTTATTTAAATCATTTCTATATAAATTTACCTGATAGATTAGCTGGAACCGTGAATACGTCATTTACGTAAGCGTTCAAAAAACCAACACCACTCAAAAGATCATGGGCATTCGGCAGCTCCGGATTGGAATCATTACGTGAGGGTAAAAAAGCGTAATCAGAAATTTTTGGTGAAATGGAAGTCGCTACCGGGGTAATTAAGACATCCACACCCTCCTTTCCCGTATTATTGTCAGCTGCGTTAGGATTATTATGATGCTGAAGAGGATTGGGTTTGGAAAATACTTGATCAAAATCTGATTGAATCAATCTACGAATTTTTTGTGCCCGGAGATAATAATCTTCATAAGACCTTTTGCCGAAGGAAATTCACCGATAAGATAAAAACGAATTATAAAGATTGACATTAATAAATGAAATTGACGCATTACCCTGCAGTCAGTGTATAAGTTCCTAACATGATTCTTCTTTTGACTTCTTCTCCGAATCCTTCATCGCGAGTATTTGCATAAAGAAATCCACCGTCTTCATCAAGAGAATTAGGTTGAGATGAATCCTTTTCGCTTCTGTGACCTTAAAAATTCGCGTCCATGACAATTTGTCGTGCGTAAAAAAAAGATAAATATTCGAAAATGATCTACCATATCTAATCCCATCATAACGAGCCAAATTAGACGAAGCTTCGGCAGGAGCCAAAATGTAATATGTCGATAAAGCGTATTTCGTGTTTGGACATGATACTGTAATTATTTTCGCCCCATTCGATCTAAGATTTGATATTCCTTGTCTCCACAATTTCACGATCTCCTCGCTAAGCTCTGACACAAAATATTCCTTTTAAAAATAATATAAAGAAATAGAATTAAAATATATTGATTAATTTAATTATTTAAACGAGTACGTAAACAAAATTAGAACAAGTTACTTGTGGTACTCCAACGCGCAATCCGTTGAGATCGTGAGAAAAACGGGAATTCGAAGGTGTCGATGATTTGAAAGTGCGTAGTTGTGATGGTAGCGAGGTTGAGTCCCTTTCATCATATTTTGATATTATATCTACTAGAACAGATAAGCATATTAGTGATCTTTGTCTTGTCCTATGGGTGTAAAATCTACGATATCAAATTCTTGATGTAACCAAATATCAAATGTGAGTCTTCAACTGTTTTCGTTATTATTCCTACAGTGTCCAGTGAATTGGCGTATGCAATCAAACCCCACCGAGAGCATAGACCATATGAAGGTTTAAATCCTACTACGCCACAATAAGAAGCAGGGAGACGAACAGACCCGCCAGTGTCAGATCCAAGAGCGCTTTTTTTAAAAATAATCGCCGAATATTGAAAAATGACGGCACAAAAAATTTCCTATAACAACTAACAGCCGTAAAACTGAAAATTTGACTTACGCGAAGCATTTCCCAGATGCAACTGCCGCAGCGCTTCCACCGGAACTTCCACCGGCCACACGTTTTTCCTCCGTGCCATAAATATCTCCGCTGGCTGATAAAATCTTGTGAGGATTATATACGGGGCCAAACGCACTGTACAAATTCGCCGAACTAGGAGGAAATTACAAGAAATTTTTTTAATCCGATATAACGGAATGCATTCCTTATCGTTATCACATACCCCATTCCAAATTCATCCAAATTCGTCTTCCCAATCATTATGGCACCGGCATCTTGGAGCAATTCTACAACAGTAGCATCATATGGGGAGGTGAAACCTTTCGAATTGAAAAACGAAAATTTTTAATCGTCTGTCGTGCGATAGTGACAAAGTCTTGGGATTTCCTTAAAACCTCGCAATATGTTTGAACCACAAGTGGTTGCTAATTCTTTAGTACAGAAATTATCTTTATACGCTACGGGTATCCCATCCAGGGGCCCTTTAACCATTCCTAACATTGGAAACATTAACAGGTATAAACTTTTTATTGGTCATAAATAAAAGATGAAAGTCACATAAATTCATCAATTAAAAAAGAACCTCTGTTGAATCGATCCTCCGCTTCTCTTGCCCTCTCCAGCAACACTTCTTCGTTCTGCACTTCAATAAAAGCATTCACGTGCTCGTTGTATTTTTTTATCCGAGATAGACAGTCCCGAATCAACTTTGTCGACCCAATTTTTTTTTCACTTATGAGCTTCCTGGCCTATTTAAAGTTGCATTTTCACAATTGGAAATAAGCAAAAGCACGTGACCATATTGATTTCGGTAAATAGAAATTTTCGTTCTTTTTTTCCTTTTAAAAAATGTTGCGACCACAAATTCACCTCGATAATGGACAAAGAAGAAAGTTTGCATTTTCCTTTTGAGGATTTTGTCAAAGCAAGTCTCAAAATCGAAGGGCAATCATAAATCATACCAGCAATAGTAGTAACAAGATAAATCCGAAAAGGAGAACTCCAATAAAAAATTTTTTATCAATCAGTCGATGAGATGAGCCAATCACGTTCTACTATGCAGGTTCTGTTTTATTGCCCGGTTTAGACACTTTATATTAAGCAAAGAGAACCAACGCCTGACCTTAAAAAAGAATCTTTCTGTTAGTCTATTTGGGAGGAATGAGAAAGTCCAGAATGCTGATAACCCGGATTATTAATTGCGATTGTTTTTTTTAAAGAAACAATAGGCAATTCTTTTTCAATCAAGTAAAAAAAAAAAAAAGATCACATAAAAAGAAAACATTTAATCAGTTACGAATACCAATCCTTTAGTGCAATACCGGATTTTTTACGTTATATTCGGTACACTTTGGGCTATCGCAGTTTAGAAAGAGGAATGAATCAATTTTACTTCAAATGTGATGTGTTTAATGATGATGCTAAATATAAAATCGCTATTTGAAATATACGCGTCCGATACGCGTCCGAACAAAATGCATTACTCATAATAATTTCAAATGAGATAGATGAATGATCACGAGGCCCCCCTACAGCAACGAAATTCTTAATTTCCAAAGATATCAACGAATGGGCGTCACCCGTTGAATTGTCATTTCACAGGCGTTACTGTAATCAGATAGATACTTGGGCCTTTGAATAATTTAAAATTCCTCTTACACTTTAAGGTTTATCTGATGAAGTCGCTCGGACGCAAGGAAGCAGTGAAACGATGACACTTTCTGCCGTCGCGAGATTCGATCGCGTTAATACTTTACCAATTATGATGTGTGTAACGATCAGTTTTACACCTTCTGTTTATAATTAACGATTTAAAGTATTTGCAACTATAAATACCTGATCCCACGATACTTGCGATTGGCAATAATTATTTAAAGTCGAATTATTACTATTATTACTACTATATTATTATTATTATTTTTTTTTTTTTTTTTCTTCACCCAAAGCCTCGTATGATGGGAAGACTGTCAAAGAAACAACAAAAGATTTTGTCACCAAATGAAACTCCTGCCCCTTCTTCCACGTATGAAAAATATAAAGAATTAAAACGGAAATATAAAGAATTATCCAAGGCATGTAACATTCTATACGTTACTTTGACCATAGAGTTTTATGTAAAACGTAATTTTTCTACTTGCATACTTTTTTTGAGCAGCTAAATGAAAAGTTGAATGCACAATATGATCGCGCCATGAAAAAAGTTACGAAATGCAGGAGCGAAAGGGAGTAAGTCGATTTGAAATAAGATTCTTTGAATAAAAAACTCATGGCGATCTTGCACTTAATTACTGATAACAAATATTAGTTGTATATTGGAACAAATGGTAGATTCCTTCTCGGAGCCGGAACCGAAAAGATTAAAGTTCAATGCACCAGACAACTTCATTATCGACAACAGTTATAATTCCTTTTCAAATAGTTCCAAACACGACTCTCTCACGAGGAAAGTTAAGGTGGTGAATGATGTTCAACAAAAATCAAAAAAAACAACTAAGAGTATAAGGCGCAGACAAAGTCGTTCAATCGTGAGGAACATGAAGGCCCATCACGTCGACAAGGATGAGAACGGTAATCACATTCTTCCAGTTGAGGTTGGATTACACACCGTGTTGAATCTCGGAACGATCGTATACGATCGTGTATCCTTTCACAATGATCGATACATTTACCCGGTTGGTTATTCCGTACGAAGGTAATTCTTTCGTTATTTATTCTCTGAATAATTTTATGCTCAAGTATGTTAATGCTTTTACAATTTGGCAGGCCGTATCTTAGCATGATCGATCCTTTCAAAAACACTATATATACCTCCAAGATCGAGGATGGCCGTGAAGGACCAAAGGTAAGTTTCATAGATTTTCATAGATGATAATGAGTTGTTTATCGATTGGTATTGTTAATAAAGTGTTTACGTGTGACCCTTTACTTGTTCTGTGATCAGTTTATCGTTCAAGCTGATGATGCGCCTGGTCAACCGATCATAGCTTCGAGTGCGACTGGAGCTTGGACACCAGTAATCAAACAAGCAAACAGTATTCGTAATAGGAAGCATTCGAATGCTGCATCCGGTCCGGACTACTTTGGATTGTCACAACCTACAATTCGAAAGATGATACAAGAACTACCAAATTCTGAGAAATGCAAGAATTATATATTTCAAGAATTCGAATTACACCACCCAAGTAATAACGGTCGTGGAAAGCCAAATCGCAAGAAGAGCTCTAAAAAGTACTGTAGATTCTTATGTTACGGAAGTTTTGTTAGATATTTACTGATAAAGATTAAAAATTTTTTTTCCAATAAAAAAAAAAAAATTTCCAAAGGGGATGGGTTATTGAAGGGAAATGAAGACTTGACACGCGTCTCTGTTTCCTCTTGGGTAACGTATACATCAAATCCATTCTATTTTCAGATTCTTTATCTACATGATTAAACGATTGCATTCGTAGCGCCGACAGATTGGCTAAGATACTGTAGTAATTTTGATCTTTTTAAAAAAAAAAACAACCTAATTTCGAACTTCTATGTCGTACGAGATTTTCTAGATATCTATATCCAGACGATCTCGTTATGTGATGCAAAAAGGATAAAATTAAAAATGAAAACTTTCCAAAGGTCGAAGCGAAGAACATGACAAATTTGAGTCTCATTCCGTTAAACACCTCGTTAAAAATAATCATAATGATATTGATTGATTGATTGATTTTTTTTATTGAAATCATCGAATCATGTAAACACGCGACGACATTTGTGGTTGTAACGTCTTCAGTAGCGATTAAAATCGTTATAATAAATGCATCAAACAGCTTCTAGATGATATTCTATCGTATTACTATATATTAAATAATTTCTATCATAAATCAAGATTTCTCTACAGTATTGTTGATACATCAAACGATAGAAATAATTGATATCGAAAATTTAAAATATGGACTAAATAATTAACTACATATAAATATAAGCTTGTCAAATGACAAATATTCATTAATGGATGTAACTGTGTCATTTTATAGTTCATCCCTCTTCGGCGAGCTCAATTCTTGTTCAAATTCTTCGAATAAGTCATCAAATTCGTCTCTCTCTTGTTTTACCGGTGAAGAAAGTGACGTTGTGGTCTCCTTCTCTGTTGGTTTAGAACTAGATGTTGTAGCGGATTCCTCGGAGACCGAAGATGAGTCAGTAGACTCGGATACTGTTTTTGAAGTTTCTTCAACCTTCTTATCCTCTTTGATGTCAATCTCAAGATCATCCTGAATTTGTTCAACCACTGGTGGGACATCATCAGGTTTCGGCTTGTCGTCGTCTTTGAGATCAAAGCTTGGGTCTGGTTCCGAGACGACAACTTTTCCATCGTCGCCAACTTTCACTTCCATATCAATTATATCGTCTTCGTCTTCTTCTTTATCCTTTGACTCACTACCATCAGTATCCTCGTCTGTCTTGTCCAATTTTCGCTTTGCCTCTTTTTCTGTTTCGCGGAACTTGACAAAGGTTTCTTCGGCAAATTCCTTAGCAAATTCAACGTCATCGGTGATTAGGATGTTGTCAAAGATCGTGCCAGACTTCACTTGCCACAAATCGAATCCGATATAAGCTGACTTATAGGCATGAAGTGAAGGTTCCTCTTTGTATTCAGGGTTTGGAATCAAGGGAGCGGACCATGGACCCTTATACTCAGGATTGGGAATTAACTTTTGCTTCCATTCGCCTTTGTAGTCGGGATTAGCGATCTGCGGTGGTTCCCAATCTCCATCCATATCATCTTTTAAATTGAGAACATTAGTTCATTCGCACCGATAAATATTCATATTATTATATTCTCTGCGATATACATACCATCCCAGTCATCTGGCTTCTTGGCTTCAGGATCGGGTATGGTCTCTGGTCCGTCCACCCAATCTGTAGGTTTGACGTCATCAGGATCTGGAATTTCGACTAAATCAACCCAATCCTCGGGTTTTTTTGCGTCGGGATCTATTTGCGGATCACAAATCGATTTAGCAGATGAACGCAATTCTTTCAACTGGAATGTAAACAACAATTACCTTTGATTTCCTTAGGAGGAAGAAGATCAAAGTCATCCTCTATTGTTCCGGATAATTCTTCTTTGTTATCAACAAAAACTGTATATGTCTGTGTGTATATGTGTATCAAACAATCTTAAATTTGGATTTGATCTTCAAATTATTTATGTTTTGTGCGGGAAAAGACTTACATGGTTCGATTTTAGTACCAAGGTGTACAAATGGGTCAATTGGTCTGAAGGTGCTGAAATTTCCTTCTTGACCTGTTTGTTTTCCCCTTTATGGCCTAAAATCACGTGAACTTTTCGAGTACTACCACAAATATCAGGCTGTTAAAAATTCAAAGCGCACAAATGAGAAACTGTTACTTTTGTTAATCACATGATGTTTAGACGCGTGCAATACTGACCCCAAACATAATGTTGTATGGTGATTCTCCTTTGAAAGATAAAGGATCGAACTCTGGCGGCAAAAGCTACAATCGCAAAACAGCAATAAATATTTGGTTATGCATACATGCATATATTTATATGCTATCCGTCCTTACCTTGACATATCCACCACCGCAATCGATGTTCTGCTCGTGCTTAACCGAAAATTGAACAACTATGCCAAAGGAAAGTACAACCGTGTCATTAATTGAGAAGTTTTACTCTATTCTCAAGTCAATAGATGGTGACAAACCTAAATCCTTGTCGGAATTATCGAGCACCTTATCCAGTTTCGTAGATATTGCATAAAATCTTGCGTCTTCAGAGGTTTTGAGGCCGCGAGATTCTACCTCGTGTGCATAAAACTGACCCGCTGACAATTCGAATTTACCGAGGTCGTCGCGATGTTTGGAATAAACCCAACGCTACAGAAAAATTGAAATGATGTTAAAGAGAAAAAAAAAAGTTTTTTTTTCGAGTATGCGCTTTACATACGACAGTACCTTTGTCCAATCGTCGTCGGAAAATGTTTCTTTTAAATATATGTCAGCCGAGGCAAAGGTGGATATGGCCAAGAGGCTCGCTGAGAGAAGGATAATGTATTTCTTCATTCTTTTTTTTGTGACAAAAAGTGAAGGGGAGTCTAAATGTTGGTTCGAACGAATCTCCGAGAATTCACATTGTGAATTTATGCGAAATACACGAAACGTGGCAAAATTTGAATGGTGTGTGACATTAATTTCTAAAATTAAACCTCCTACATAGTGATTGGTCAATCTGGGTATTACTTTTCCTCTCACTTTAAACTTTTGCAGAATGTCTGAAGAACTTGACATTGAGAAATACCTTGCAACCGAAGCCACTCAGCTACAAAAGGATCAGGAAGTTGAACGTATTTTGACAGCCTTTAAATTAAACCCTTTTGATATTCTTGATCTAAAACCAGACTGTACAGAAAAAGATGTGAAAAATGCATATCGGAAAAAATCTTTACTAATCCACCCGGACAAGACCAAACACCCAAAGGCACAGGAGGCATTTGCATTATTAAAAAAGGTAGCGTTGCTTTTTCAAATGAGTTGTGCATTTATCCTTCATTGGCTGTAAAGAATTAAGTGCTCGATAATCTGATTTTATATTAAAAAAAAAAACAAAAAAAAACAATAATAATAATAAAAACGGTCAAAAAATGCTTGATCCTCACAATCTGCAGGCGGAAATGGAACTATCTAACGAGAAATCACGGCAATTTCTCCTAGCAATAGTTGAAGAGGCTAAAGTAACCTTGATCAACGAACAAAAGCTAAAAATCACTGATCCAATTATTGACACACCACAATTTAATTTACAAATCAAACAAAAAATTAAAGAGATATTAATAGAACAGGAATTGCGCCGGCGGAAATCTCTAAAAAGAGAATTGGAGGCTCAAGGTCTGGCCGCCAAAAAGGCCGAACAAATTGAGAAGGAAAAAAAGAGGAAAGCTGAGGAAGAAAAACTGTGGGAAGAAACCAGAGAACAGAGAGTTAACAATTGGCGAGACTTTCAGACAAAAAAGAGTAGTTCAAAAACAAAAAAGAAAAGGAATACGGGAAGTGAATTTAAACCACCAAAAGTTTTGGCCGAAGATCCCTCCAAACCTTATATCAAACGACCTACAAATAATTGATTGATTGAGATTACACCATCCCAATATTTTCATAAGAGTAATTGCATATTTAAAATAAAAGAAAAGATACTGTACATTCTGTTATGTATTAAAAATGGTCGACATTTGTAATATTTCACATGAAAGACCATCTTAAATAAACTATTTATAATTGTTACCACCGAATTTTGTGGTATTATAAGGGACGTCAAAATTTTATATTTATATGTAATTAATTTGTGCATGTCTTTAATTGTGCAAATATGACTGTCAACATATTCCCCAAGAATGTAAACCCCGAGACACGTAAAGGAAGAAACATTCTAAACTTTTATTCTGAAGAAAGGATCTTATCATATAGTCTTTAGTGATCGAATCGTCTATTGTGTATGTGTGAAATGCATAAGCTTTTTTTCTTTTTGCATGTTTATTCGTAGCTACAACATTTGTTGAAAAATTCATAGCATGATCTTTCATTACATCTCGTTCCTACAACTAACGATGGTCCCCAAATTATGTCGGGACACAATTCAATTGTCCTTTAATGCCAAAATTTTTTTTTTTTTTTTTTTTTTTTTTTTTTAAAGAAAAACAAGCGAATAAAACTACCTACAAAATGTTTTTTCTATAATTTAAACCTTGCTAATAATTTCCTTCTTGAATGATATTCCTATCAAAACGAAGTGTGAATAATTGCGTCACAGCAAAAGCAAACATAATGGGAGCAAAATTTGTGTACTAAATAGTTCAAGAATCCATCTTTACCCGTAACCATGGGTGATTTTTGATATCGCTCAGGGAAGGTCTTTTCTCGGGTACGCGTTGTAATATCCTCTTCACCAAATCCTTTGCTTCTTCGCTAATAATTGCACGTCTCCCACCAACATCTGACCGAGGAAAACTAAAATCGCCTCTAGCAATCTTACTGCAGAATTGCTTTCTGGTTTCCCTACGTCCTTGGTTAAATGGCAAATATCCGACAAGTAAAGAGTACAAGATAATTCCCAATGCCCATATATCAGTCTTTCTACCATCGTACGGTTGTGCCAGTATTAACTCCGGTGCTGCGTATTCCTCTGATCCACATCTGGTGGTGGAAAGTGGTGACGTCGGATCGATGAACTTTGCTAGACCAAAATCCGTTAATTTAATAACCGGTTTTGTCGGGTTCTCGATCGAGAAAGCGGATTCCAGTAGTATGTTTTCTAGTTTCAGGTCACGATGAACAATGTTGGAATTGTGAAGGTAGGATACAATGTCAACAATTTGGAGGAAGATATGTTTTGCATCCTCCTCTGTGGTTTCATCATAATAATCATTTACAAAGTCGAATAATTCGCCACCAGGAACGTATTCGAGAACCAAGCAAAGGTGTGAAGGTGTATCAATTGTATCGATAAGACTAACAATATTAGGATGATCGATGAACTGGAATAAATGTGCAGGTAGAAAGATCAAATGTCAACTTGTGATATTTAACAAATTCATTATCGACAGTCTCTGGACATATTAATTACCTTTAAGAGTTCGACTTCACGCCAGACACCTGTCTTTAATCGATCACTATCCTCAATTCCTTTCAGGGTGATCATCTTGATTGCTACCTTCTTGCAAGTTTTCAAATCCATAGCAAGTTTCACTTCTGAAAAAGAACCAGAGCCAATCGCCTTAATAATGGCGTAATGTCCAATTAACTCTGCATTAGCTAATCCAAGTTTGTTCAACCTTCGTTGTAATGAAGAGTGATCGTTTAAAGGTCCCACTTCATCATTATGACTGTGATCTTTGCCTTGAGGACGATTGTGGTACATCTCCGATGAAGAATTACTCCTATGTCCCGATAGATGATGAGGATAAGAATTCTTTTCCACATTCAAATTCGTAGAATTTACTCTTTTCCGAATTGAACTATGTTTTATATGGTGAGAGGCGGGAAAATCATGAACCGATGTTGCGGGACTTGGTAAAGTTATTAGAGCATCTTCATCTGAGGTTACACGTTGATGTTGAAATTTCTTTATCCTTTCGGAAGTCAGCGGACTGGCTGCGTCATTAACGAAGGTGGTTGCTATTCTCGGTGGGGCCGGCGGTTGAGTCTTTCTCACCGAGATCATATTATCATTGCCCTTAGGCAAAGATTGATTTGATTTTGATGATGATAGAACCGGTGAAATATGAGATGTGATGACAGGAAGATCATCAATTACCCCGACATCATCAGAAGAATTAACCGGTTGACTTGAGGCATCTGTTGAATTCTCAGTAGCGTTATCATCGCAAGTTTTTTTCTTACTTTGAGAGGGTGATGGGCTGACAATCAACGAAGAAGAAGAAGGTACGGATGAAGAAGTTGACACGCCTTGAGAATTGCTACAGGCATGACGTTTTCTATTGTCCATCGCAGAAGAGTTAAATGCTTTGTCATAGGATCTTGTCGTGTTTTCAATGGCAAGATTCTTGGCTGGATCAGATAAAATTGGCATGGTTTTGATGGACATGTGTTTCTTTTTCTCCTTCGAGGTAGAAAGGTCTCTAGTCTAGAGCTCAAACGAATTCCAGATAAAACTGATAGGTCGCCCTTTGGATTTTTTGAACACTAACGATAAATTATTAATATAAAAGTATGTGAATCAATTTATCTTCATATTGAAAATATCAGATACGTAAAACACAGACACATATAAAAAAACAGCAAATAACTGATAAATTGGTGATAGGCACACACCTTTCACGCACGACTAAAGGATATGCTGACTGTCGGAGGGAGTCTTGACTGGTATTTCTTTATTAGATTTTGTAGGCTTTAGGTCACAGGAAGGTCGAACAAGAAAGTGGTTTGAGGAAGCGGTCGAAGCTCTTTTATATTTTGACACAAAAAGATATCAACAGTTGATGTGTATCACACTGACAATGAATTCTAGACCCTTTTATATGGAAAAATGACAATAAAAACAAGAAATCTTTTGAAAGAATATTTCTTCTGGAAATGCTTAGAGTAGGGAATTTTTTTTTTTTGTTGACATCAAAGGACTTTTTTTAAAAATCACATCTACGGTTGGATTTGGTTGAGATTTACACCAGATAATGTAAGAGGCTTATTCTAATTGAATTTTTATCAGGGTTCAGAATTACTAATGCCTTTTTACCCAATGAAAGCTAAAGGAATTGCCACAACCAGCGTAGAACACTGTGGGTCAATGAATAACCAAAAACGACTACGGTTTACAGTAACATGAAAATAAATTCTCCGACTGCATTAAGAAAAGGTTCATGTCATCCATCATGTCTTTAACAAAGATCGTCACAATATTCAAAAAAAAGGCTTACTGAATACAGAAAAGAATGTATATATTGACATTGTAAAAAAATCCCGTGCCACGTTTTGAAATGATTCAAATGATTCGCACTGGCTTAAACAGCATCATGTGCGTTGTCGAGGTCGGTTCTACGAGAATGATCTCGGTCATTTGTTAATGGTCACGTGAAACTATGCCCGAAGAGGTAAGAACATTACTCTTACAATAAAATCTTTAGCCGATTGTGACCTAGAGATACAATATCCACATAAACATTGTGTTTTGACTGGTCGCTCATTGAAGCCTCATATGAGAATTATTAATTACAAAAATAATTACGTATGATGAATATATAACACTAAATACACAGACTATATTTAGATATAAATATCTATTATAATAGCAGATTTTGCTAAAGTCATAAAATATAACAAATAATTTACAAATAATAATAATAAACAATGTTGAATTTTTATATGGACTTTTGCTTTTCTCCCTATGCAGAGATATCTTCCATAATTACTGTACATATCATATTTACAGGTTTCTTCAATATAAAAGAAATTTATGTCTTTACTGTAACACAACCTTAATTTTTATTGATTACGTAAATGTTAAATAAAAAATACTGTATATATTGTCGATCTTATTGAATCCTGGATCTGATAATAATTTTAATAATTTTGTTGTTCGATGGCTACTTTCGTTCGATCTGCTTTTCCCGCCGCTTTTCGTACTAATGCACGATGTATAGCTTCAATTCGTAGTCAGGTAAAGTTTTATAGAGGGATGTAGCCCAATCAATAGACAAATGTATTTTGACACTTACCACATACATAATAGTCCTGGGGGCCTCACACCGGGCTCAAAAAAGTTAAAATCGTGGAAGTCGGTCCTCGGGACGGACTGCAGAATGAAAAAAATTTCGTGCAAACCGATGTCAAAGTTAATTTCATCAATAAGCTGTCAAAGACGGGTCTGAAAGTTATCGAGGCAAGCTCTTTCGTAAACCCAAAACTTGTACCTCAGGTATTGTAGAGAAATTTTGATTCTCGAAACCATCGCACCTCATGTGATAAGAGATACCTTTAATTTTATAGATGGCGGATGGGATTGAGGTTATGAAAAGAATCAATCGGGAACCAGGTGTAGATTATCCGGTTTTGGTACCTAATCCCAAAGGTTTGCAAAATGCAGTAACTGCTGATGTTAAAGATATTGCAATATTTGCGGCGGCGTCTGAGACATTTAGCAATAAGAACATTAACTGTACGATAAATGAGAGTCTACGGCGTTTTCAGGATGTCGTAGACATGGCCAACATACATGGAATTGCAGTCAGAGGGTATGCGTGTCAACACTTGTTCACATTAAGGATGCACGATAACTAAAATCGATTTATTTCATCTAGGTATATATCTTGTGTCGTTGGATGCCCTTATGAAGGAGATGTTTCACCGGAAAAAGTTTCCGAGATTGCCGAGAAATTATACAAGATGGGTTGTTATGAAATATCACTAGGTGATACGATTGGTGTTGGCACTCCTGGTATGTTAGGCATTTCTTGATCGGACCAAACATCTCACCTTATTCAGCATAATATTTCTATTCGCCGCGTATAAGGTTCATTTTCAAAAATGCTTCGAGCTGTAAAACAGGTGATACCCCTTGAAAGAATAGCATTACATTGTCATGACACATACGGCCAAGCACTCGCCAATATATATAGTGCATTAGAGGTAAATATAAAGATGTTGATTTATTTTAATCATCCTGTCTTGATTGCTTTTTAAATAATTTCAAGGACGGTGTAAGAATTTTTGATGGATCTGTTGCGGGACTGGGTGATGTATCTTTGCTATTTGTATACTGGAATTTTATCCACATAATCACTGATTTATTATTGCTTTTTCAGGTGGCTGTCCGTTTGCCAAAGGCGCAACAGGAAACGTGGCAACAGAAGATGTGGTATATATGCTACACGGAATAGGATACGAAACAGGTATCCAGCTCCCCGAATTAATTAAAGCCGGTAACTACATTTCTCAACATTTGGGTCGTCCGAATGGATCTAAAGCAGCTATAGCTATGACTTCAAAATTGCAATTGGATCAAGATCAAGTCTGATCTAGTCAGCAACAATAATGATCATCAATAATACTATATATTAGCATCAAATCATTTTATTATTAGAATTAGTCGTCAATAATTCATCTAAATGACTGTCTAATTATTAATTGAAACTAATAAACAACTCTTACAACAGTTTCATGCTTTGACGAATATACTGTATTTGAAAAAGGATTTTCAGCCCATCTAGGTGCTGTCAGATCTTACCCCAAAAATTTCGATGTTTGTTCAAGTGATATTTTGAAAATTGTGGAGGCGGCGTAAAGCAGCACGTACCACTCTGCGCAATATGAGAGCTGCAAATCGGTTAAAATGGTGTTGAGAAAATTTTAGTTAATGCTACATTTTGATACATTACCCCACATTACATTCGTCATGCAGGCACCGTTCAATCCACGTGATCCAAATCAAAAATTATTAGCTAGGCGTTCTGCGGGCTGTGGTCTGTATAAAGCGTTGCATGTAGTATACAGGTTCGATCTACAGTTTACATATACGAGTAATAACTTTTGGGGATGAAGGCTGAAAAGTACTTTATATGCGTATGTTACCCTATTTGATGCATCGTTATGTGAATTTTGTCATAATGAACAAGCTGCAGATTCTTTGCTTGGCGAATTAATAATAGCAACTTGAAATGCTAAGAATCAAGAAATTCCATCATTCCCGTTTAAGAATTCAGTTTAATTATATAATTTCTTTCACAATTCCAAATTGGGGAATTTTATACGTCGACTGTCAGCTGTGTGTAGGACTTCGAACATTTCCGGATTCGCTTACATTCGATTCTAGGACCTACCCGAAAATTCGACTCACATATATTAATATTAAGCCATGACCTATATTATACATTCAATTAATAATTATGTTATGTTGTGTAGTTTATGTTAAATTAATTTGTGAATATCTTTAGTCTCAAAAATAATATCAGTTAAGAAAAAATATTAAATTGTGTACACAATATGTTATGCGACAATATGCAGTAGTTTGAAAAAAAAAATTGAAATTCTTTAAATTTTTTTTTTCTTATAATTTAATAACTAATTTAATAAAATAGAATTAAATAAAATAAATATATTTTTGAAAATATAAAGTTTAAGTTACCTAAGAAATTTCCTTAAATAATTTATTAAATAAAATTTTTTTAAAAAAAATATATTGATTCTAAATTTGCTAAACAAAATATACAGTCTGTTACAAAAGTCTTTGGACTCTATTTTTAGTTTACAATTTAATAACTAATTAATAATATATTATATTATTTATTTATATATTGTTTAAAGATTTAAAGATGAAAATTAATTAAAGAGTTTTATTATTATACAGTGTGTAACAAAACTTTTTGGAATTTTTTATTTATTCATTACTCAAAAACTACTGCATAGAAATTAATAAA